CCATATGAAGCAACTCAAGTGGCCTTGAGTTGAGATTGCGAACTCCCAGGGCTCCATTTCCAGAAGCAGGAGAGGCAATTTCAACCCCCAATCCACGTCAAGCTTTGAGCTCACTTGAGTCACTTGAGCCTCCAGTGCAAAACACACAGACTTTCAACCTGTCCCGACCAAACAAGGCCACCCGGCCACCCATTTCTAGACCTGATTTCGGGACTGATTCGACAGACAAGGTTGCTTATTCTGGGGGGGGGGGGGCAGAGGAATGACCCGATCAACCGGGAACCCCAAACGGTCTTGGATCTTGGTTAACCTCGCATGTGTCAAAGTTCGCGGTGCAAGGAACCACCGAGGCTCTGGGGATCTTGTCGCACTTTTTGCCTGGCTTGATCACGTGTTGATCCAAACGCCTTTGAACCCAAAAATCGCATTGTTGGCGCTTCTTAGTGACTTAGTGGTTGGGGTGGCTACCTGGTTGGGATCTGGAGTTTAGGAATGACTTACATTGACAGGTCTCGCTGGGTTCTTCCCTATTTGGGTCAGGGCCAAAAACCCTAGACCCCTACACCTTTACATGAGATCATGGAGGATGCTGCCAAACCCCTCCGCAACCGACAAATCGAGAAAGGGCTGGGGACAGGTTCTTGGACTCTCCTTGCGAGATGATCAAAGAAGAGGCGCGGGGGCTTCGGGCAACAGGGTTTACCCTATTAGGACCCTCACCGTACTCCCTATACCCAGCAGTTCAGGGCGTAAGAGGGCTGGTCCTGTCTCGACCTTGCTCCCATGCTTGCGCCAACCAGAGCGTTAACATCCCGAACATCAGATCTTCCTAAACGCCTGACTAGCAGTGGCCAGCAGGAATCGTCTCCCAACATGTGGTCATTCCCATCACTCATTCCGAACGATGCGCGAGTCGGAAACTGGACGCGATTCAGTTCGGCGATTCAGGAAACTGCGGTTCAAGAAGCTAGCTGATTCAAGCAACAACCCGATTCAGGAAACTGGCTTCACGAGATTCAGGAAACCACGGCTCAGGCAGCCAAGCGATTCAGGAAACTGGCTTAACGCGATTCAGGAAGTGACGCGATTCAGGAAGCCGTTCACGTGATTCAGGAAACTGCCCGATTCAGGAAACCACGGGGGGTTTGGGGTGGGGGGGGGGGGGGTGATCACGTTCATGCTAAGACTTTCAGGATACAATGCGATTCCCGAAACCGGGCTTTCCAGTTTCTCGAATCACGAGTTTCCAGTTTCCGAATCCGCATTTTTTGTTTAGTTTCTCGAAAATGGTCGTTGGAGCTTTGTCAAGCCAGTGTCTATTTTCTGACTTTTCCGGGACAGGTCTCGTGCAGAAGGGAGTCAGTACAAGAAGCCCAGGATGTCAACTGCAGACCCCACTTACTTTCAAGTGGCTGCAAGCTAAAACTCAGCAGGGAAGTGCCTGGGCAAAGGTTTTTCTGTCCGGGCTTGTAGAGTTGACTATGTATGTGTTTGTGTTATCAGGTATAAGATGGGGAACGAAGTACAACAGACAAGGAGGTTCTAACAATAGCTTGGGTTTAAGGCAAGGGGGGGGTCCCTACCATCAGATCCTTCAGAAACCAGCTCTACAATCCTTAAACCCGTAAAAACCCGAACCTGGACATCCCGTGGTTCCATTCGGATCTTCGCAGACGGATGACGGCCCGGACTTCCTCGTGGAGGGCGCAACCCTCAGATCAGCAGCCTCCCACGTGCAGCACTGCACTCGTACCCAAGCCTGCAGTAGCCCAGAGCCAAGCCTGCAGTAGCCCGAAACGTATAGCCAAATGTACAGCATATAGCCCTAGAAAACTTGGAAGCTGAAATTTGATAAGCCAACGGCTCAAAGCTTATCCTAGATCATGGGAGCTCACATCAATTCCACATCATTTGTTACCTCAAGCCCTCAAAAAGCCAATCTAGCTCGATCACCGTTGAAACCGTCTATCCCCGAGGGACCAGCCCGCGGCGTCGAATGCGGGGCTCGCTGAGATACTGAGAGCTTTCGGGGACGGTCTATGTTGTCAGGCACCTCTATCCATAAAGACAAAGCCTTGAGATCTCTGAACCCGAGCGATTATGTCTTATGACTCCTGCTCTTATGTTCTCTTATGCCTGGTGTGTTGTGTGCCCGGCAGCCTCAAAACGAGGGACCGGGGCATAAGGAGAAGATGCGCAGTCTCTGACAAAAGCCGACCATGCGGAGCTTGAAATCTCATGCTAGGAAAATTGTAAATAAGGGCTATATGTAAGGCGACATGCGTAGCACAAAGTCTATGATCGCAACACTCAATCTCCATGTCCCACAAGCCAGGATGACACTTTCCTCGTTTGTGTATCAGCCCCTGAGCTTCTGAGGGTTCGCGCTCCTTGCCAAGCAACCCCCTGGAAAGGCGCATGTAGAGCCGTTCAATGCTGGTTGAAGCTTCTCATACTACCCCTTCAGCTGATGCCTTGTCAGGATTCGGCCCGAAAAAAATCCTCAAACAGGCTGCTCTCGCTGCCTCTGGCCCGTGGTTCAGAGTGCCCAGAGTTCCGCGCCCAGAAGCGGCGAATGGCTCACAAAGCCTCGACCTCAAGGGGGCTCCAATCGTTCACAGAGTTCCCCACTTGCGCTTCGGTGTTGGTGCTTGGGTCTCTAGAAGCGTCGTTTGGGGGTCTGGGAAGATGGTGAGAGTCTTATAGTGAGCTCTCAAGCTTGTATGTTGCCATCGCATACTGAAAAGGGTACGTTCGCAGGTTCCTACTGCCAACACCAGCAGGTCGCTCCGCGACATACAGAGCCCTGGCCCTCGTTCAAATCATGGGTCACCTGGATCATCCCATTCCCAGTACTGTTGCGGGAATCGGCCCCAACAGAACCTCGTACGTGCAGTGCTCTGTGCCGCCATGACTAAGTTATCTGATTATTCCAGAATCCAAAGAGCACCAGGAAGAATAAGACCTGACCTGGTGAGATCCGCAGGTGCCGTGAACCGCCACAGCGTGGGAAGAATTGATGGGCTGCCATCAGGCGAAGGCGAGCATTGGCAGAGTTTTCGAATGATTGTAGGGTGTCGGGCTCACGGCTTCTGGGGCTGGACCAAGACACCGAGAAGTACCAAGCAAAGGCTTGTCCCAATCCTACTCCACATAAGAAGCTGGCTTATCCATATCCAGCGCTCGCACCGTACCCACGCCAACCAGTATACAGCGCACACTTGTTCACCGTGATGGGCCTGACTGCTGGCCAAAGTAGCTTACATCTTCGTTCATGAGGGGATTGCTGCCACCCTGAATCTGCAACCCCAAGCGGGGAGACTGTGCTCAGCGGGTACTCTTTCAGGTTTCGGCAGGTTCCACGGTTCCACGCTGCCCTGCGACCCGAAGCGCCCTCTGCACCTGCCATGCTACTTGCAACCCCAAGGCCCCCAAAGCCGTCTCAAAACACCCCAAGCCGCCCTAGAGAGTGGAGGCTTCTGGCCCAAGCGCGTTGAACGACGTGGGGAACCAAGTTCCGGGTCTTAGGGGTCCCAAGGCTTGAAATAAGGCTTGAGTTCCTTTTACGTAGTTGAGGACCAAGATGCAGCTTGGTTGCCAGGACAAGCTGTGCAACCTATCTCAGTTCAGTGCACTTGGCATCCGCCCGGCTGAGTTCTGACCGATGCCGAAGCAGTCCGCTAGAACCCTTGGCTCTCCAGGGTCCCATAGGCCCCACCAAAGAGTTGCGCAAGCATATCGTGTACCTGCAGGCTGCGCTGATGACCCTTTGTACCTCCATAGTCATCCTCTTTGGTGGCCCTCCCCTCTCCCTCTCCCCCGCTGGGTAGCAGAAGAGCTGCAAGCATCATAACCTGCATCTGTACGTGTTGACCCTCAGACCATCCCTGCCTAGTAGGCGCACTGTTCAATGTGCATCTTCTACTGGCAGCCGCAAGTTCACGGTTGCTACCACGAACACAGACTACATGAAATGCCCATGCAAAAGCTCAGCACAACACCCTGAATCTACCCCACGAAGATCCAAGAAGAGATCCTTGGTTCCATGTCCCCGATGCCGAAACCTTAAACCTCCAAATCCTGCCCAGCCATCTACACTTCTGGGCCGTGTTGGTTTGAGGACTCCTGGGCACTCTCGTGTTGTGAATTCTTTTTTTTTTTTTTTGGGGGGGGGGGGGGGCAGATGGTCCAGGTTTGCGTGGGCAGGCTTGCCTATGTGTTGGATCAGGTTCGTTCTACATCAAGGTTCTTACCCCAAACTCCAAGCCCAAAGCTATAAACCCGACACATTCATCTAAAGTAGATCCTGGCTTGTGGGACTTGACATTGAACCTATGGCATGAGGCCATAGAGACAGATGGGATACCCTAGCAGATGGCAAATTTGTGTCTGAAGATCATTGGAGTCAGGCGTCCTCTGAACGCAGTTTCAGGCTCAGGGTGTTGGGTAACCAGCAGGACTCAGCCGTTTTGTTGCGTTCAAAGGTGTGGCGTAACGTTCTTGGGCACCCTCGAACTTCCTAGCTTTTCTCAAGATGCCAAGCTCTGGCATCCTAAGGCTTCGGCTATGGTCTCCTGTTGTGTTTACACAACAAAGACCAGATCTGGTGGTTCAGATTCTTTACTACCTTGAAACCAGGCTAAACTTTCTAGCCTCTAGTCTTGCGCCAGGAGTGAGCACAATGCGAAAGAGGCAGCGGTTGTGTCTTGCATGGCTGGAATGTTCAAGTGGATGTAGGAATGATGAACTCCAGAGAACTACATGCCAGTCACACAAATGTCGTACATCCAAAACTGAAGCCAACAGATGAATGTGGACTGAAGGGCTAAAGTCGTGGGCTAATGTATGTTTTGGAGGTCTTCGGATTCTGCCCAGAGCCGACGACGAATAGGTGTTCATGCATTCTTCCTGCATCTTTTGAGATTTAGGGGTTGGGGGGTTCTAGAGTAGTCTACCAGGTGTGGGGTCCTGCTTGGCTTCCAAAACCCCTCAAGCTAGAGGAGCAGAAGCAGACACGAAAGCTTCGCCGGCCACGCACCAGAGAGTGCGAGGAGGCCGGGCCTAACTTTGCGGGCTTTGGGGTTTGCCAGTTTGCCATTTGAGTCGAAATCAAAAAGCCCGTTCAATTGGGCCACCTCTTGGCCCGACCCGCCGTGTCTGAAAGCCTTGTTTTCTCTGGGCGGCCGCAGTGGTTTACATAGGTTGAATAGAAGAGCCGCAGCTTGTGTGAGCCAGGTCAAGTACTGAGACCCCGCCCGATACCCTCAACAGTGCTTAGCATAGTTTGTCCTTTGTGAGAGAAACCCCCAAACCCTAAGCAGGTTTCAACAATAGAAACCATGCAAGATCAAGTTCTTAGCAGGGTGCCTGTATCAATTCAAGGCAGTCAGGCATCCACTAGCCCCAGACCTTCCAAGCCTCCCCAAGCAGCCTGAGGTACCGAACCGAGGAATTTAGGTGTGAAAGGGGGGCTGGGTGTTCCAGTTAGGCTGAGAGTTTCACAGCTTGTTTGTTGAGCATACATGAGTCCTAGCTTGATGATCGCCCACGTTTACTTCTCAGACCTTCAAGTGAGTTTAGTAGGCGGCCGCAGTGATCTGCTTAGGATTAGATGTAGGATAACGATTTCAAAACGGGTCTTCGACAACGACTCATTTCGGGTTTGGCGTTGAGATTTAATGAAGTCGTCTGGCTCAACAGGGCTCGAGAGAGCCTGTGTTGCTTGGAGACCGTGTGAGCGCAGAAGGCGGAGATGAATGTCTTGACAAAGTCGGTGGAGGAGCAGCTCCCCGCAGGCCTGGGTTTTTTCCCTGGTCTGGGAGAGGATCTCGGAGTTGGGAGGGAGTTGAAGCTGAGGGCTGAAATTGTCAGGCTTCGGCGAGCTAGGCTTTCAGGGTCCGACGTTTTAAATTTCGGTCCTGCCGAACCTTGGGACCAAACGTCCGGCTTAATCCGGGGTGCAGAACTATGACCACAACACTTTCCGAGAGTGCCACTCAACCCAGGTCCCCGCATCTGCATCCTGGGCAGCACCGCATCTGGACGGGAAATCTCCAATGATGCGATAGCCATACCGACCTCTAAATCCCCAAGTCTTGTGAGAACTCAAGATGTAGATTGTAGATCGGACTCTACAGATCTGCGACATGTGCTGCTAGGCCAAGCAGTTCTGCCGGTTTTTCCTTGAGCTCCTGAGCCCCTGTCCGACTCAAAACTGAAGCTATCCAACGCCTGCCAAAGCTGCAAACCTTCCAAGCCTGCTTCAAGAACAGATTCCGGCGCACGACTTCATACTTGCACATCCAGAGCGGAGTTGAAATGCACATCCTCACTTGCAAACTCTAGCTTACAATCACGCTTATCAAACTTGTAGCCCACATATACACACACTTACCCGAGAACAAACAATCTGTCACATCAATCATAGACATACAAAAACCCCTGCGCCCGCCGTGGGGGCCCTTCATGCCCCTTGACACCCACAAGGGTCCTTTTTTCTTCTCTCCTTTTTCTATCATAGGTACCCCAAACACCTTTTGTTGCTGAGGCTTTCTGGAACGAGGCTACCGAGCCGCTGGTGAAAGCGCTGGCCTGCAGGCGCGAAGATGTGCGAACTCGAAAGTCCAGCATACCTCCGGGCCTCCGGTATGTGCAGTAGGCTCCTACGGGCCCTTTTGGGACATGGAAGGGTTTGTTGTACATCTGAGTTCTAAAGATTGTCTCCAAGGTGTGTCCGTAACATGCATGTGAAACAACGGGGTGCGATTCACGTCGGGCGGTGGGACCCCGCAGCATCATTAGCCATGTTCATATATAGGGCTTTTGCGCATGGAATCCTCTATTGAGGCAAAGATGAGAGCGTGTGAGTTCAATGTCGGGCTCTTGGGCCTGTCGGGTCTCCAGGGGTCTGTGGTGGCTCTGGGATTGAAGGACGTTTGGCGAGCCCAAGGTTCCTAGTTTGAGGACGGCGTGAGGGTCGAGGTTGTGATGGCTCAGCGCGGCCATCTCTTTGTGCAGGCTCAGCAGCAGCCTGCGGGACAGCAACGCCGTGATCCTCACCGGGGGCATGACAGGGGTGCAGGCGCAGATTCACCCCAAAGAGAGAGCTGAAAGTCGCAGCTAGGCACTCTCAATACTCAATACCCTTGCATCTCCTGAGTGTCGAAGTTCTGAACCTTTCCCTCCCAGGAGGTCATGGCGAAGGGTCTCGCCGACCGTGGCTTTGTGAGGTTGGTGCTGCTCGTCTGAGCTCGTCTGAGGTCTCATAGGGGGGGATGAGACACGATGGCTGTTTGGAGACTTTCAACACGGCTCCAAACCTGTCCAGGACTTGGGATTGACCGTTTTGTGTTCGGGCAGCACAGCCAGCACTGTAGATGCGGCTCGTGACATTGGGATGTGGGGGATGTAGGGTAACGTCCATCCGCGGCAAATGGCAAGGTGCGGCTTCACCATGGCACTGCCCATGTTTCCGATGAGATAAGCACTGAAACACTGAAACCGCAACTGGAATCGAACCCCGGACTCCTTCAATCCATGTGGACACCATGGCGATAGGGCGTAAAGAGGGAGAAGGATAATTAAAGTGGTGAGATTTTAGGGTGAGCAGAGGGGGTGTGCGCCTCAATGCCGATTATAGAAACAAACGCCTTTAACCAAAGCGCCTTACTCAAGGAACTTAGTCCACTTGGGCCACGAGAGCGGCAGCCAACCTGAATGTGGGGCTTTGTATTCGGTTCACATGCTGTTGGGGAGGCAGGGCTCTGGCGTTTTAAGGGCTTGCTTGCAGCGGTTCAGGCCTTCAGGAGTCTTCAGTGATATTGCTTGCGATTTTATTCCGCACGAAGTGCTCGTCCTTGCGTGTTTCCTTTAAGTCAGGTGTCTCCGATGAGTGCCTCTCATGTCAAAGAGTTCCTGAGGTGGGGGTTGCAAGGTTCGCGGCCAGGCCCCGGTATCCTTGCTCCAAATTCTTGAGGACCAATGTTTCCTATTCTCATCTACCCGAAGTCCTTAAACCTTACACGCAAAGCCTTAGAGACCCGTCCAAGGATTCAACGCCGGGGAGGACTTAGCTGCGGGCCTGGACGCCGCAGAGCGCCGCAAAGTCTTCGGCCGTCTCGGCTGCTTGGGGGAAAAATTGTTGCGGGCCTGAAAAACAACTCTGACGGGGTGGTCGTTTGGGGTTTTGGCCCGTGCATGACTCGTGAGTGCCGGGTTCGCGGGCACATGTTCCCATCCCCAAGTAAGCTCTCCGGGGGTATTGTTCCTACAAAGACGGCGGCTCTGAACACGCCCTTCTGGGTGCTACGTCGGATCCAGGCCACAACATGCACTGTAAGTGTAGGCATAAAGCAGCATCAAGAATCACGGCACTGCGTTGGGATAAACGGGTAAGGTCGAGAGCAAGGGTTCGTGGCAGACTCCGACACTCCGACACCTACCTTGAGCAGCATCGTCACTGAAGAAAGATGGACCAACGACCCTTCAGAACATCCTTCAGAAGGTCGCGACCAACAAAACTCCTGCCCTCTTCCGCCCCCTTTCCCCCGCATTCCTCCCCCAACAGAGAAGAAAGCCAAAATTGACAGCAAGGCGACGTATACCTCTGCATCGAGGGTGGCCCGGGTGTGGCGGAAGAGGCAAACATGGCCTTCGAGAACGGTGCCGCAGATGACACACAAGCTCTTTCCTTTTTAGCTATATAGGCTATGCCAGGGTCGCCACACTAGGTAGGCGGAAGAACATGCCGATCTTGACAATTCACGGGACTTAGGCCGGGGCGTGTGTTAAAGGTTTGCAGTCAGGGCACTTTCGCTTTTCAGGCAGCCAGAAACAAGCAGCCTTGGCAACAGAATCCTGTGGGTACACAGGGTTATAGTGAGTGCCGCGACGATTGTCGCCTGCCAGACGGCCGGTACAGGTGGAGAGAGAGAGAGCGAGAGAGAGGGCGGATGGAGAGATAGAGAGATAGATAGAGAGAGGCAGAGAGATGGAGAGAGGGAGAGAGAAAGGCAAGGCGAGACACACCCTATAGGGGGGCGGCTCCTCTGGGAGCTAAGCATGCAGGAAGGAAGAAGGACAAGATCTTCAGTCACGTTCAGTCAATAAGTCAGACTATTGTCCGGAGCTCGACAACCTGATGCTGAGCCCAATCAATGATCCCATGGCCCAAGGCGCCTTTGTGTTGCCGATACCGTCCACGGGCGGAGCATCCAGCGGTGCTTTCAACTTTCCGCAGGCCCAGCAGAACGCTGACGGCTGCAAGTCCCCAAACCCCACAAGGTTGGATTCGGGGGTGCTCTAGAGAGAAAGAGCATCACAAGACTCTCCATCCGTGCGGAGGGGTCCCGGAAACATGTTCGCCCTGGGACTTCGTGAGGCGGCGCTGGAGCGGCCGAGGTGGGCGTTCAGGGTTATCTTGGGGGTTCGGGCCCTTTGGTTCCCTTTAGGGTTGTTTCCTTTTGTTTTGCTTGTTGGGGGTTCGGTCATTAGGCGGCGGCATCTGTGGAATTTCCTCACACAGACCTCCATATGTGGATCCGCGCTCCTCATGACCCTCCCTCCAGCCAACATTTGCATATGGCGACGGCCAAGCAGCGGGATGTGGGAACCGCTGAATTGGCGCTGCCAGCCTTTCTGTGGCCATCGAGTTTTGGACTCACCCTTTGCTGCACTTGCTGCAGCAAAGGCTTGCTGCGAGACGATCTTGCATCGCGGGCACGACCTCATGACCCGTAGGGGTCACCTTCCGTGGGATGCATGGCTACTGGGTACGTCGCTATGTAGATTATGATAGATGATGGCTTGTGCATTGTTTCCTGTGAAAGTAGGACCAAGTAAGACCCACGGCAGGTCAACGTTAGCATCAGAAATTCTCACGTTTCGCCCACTGCCATGTGATGGTGCATCCCCAAGCCTCTTCAAGCCCTATCCCGGCCCCATTCGTGCAGGTGCGTCTCACCTGAGGAGTGGGCTTCTTTCAGCACGGATGGCCACCCGGAAGAGGTGGCGTCCACTGTCGCCACCTCCTCAGCCGAGTTTCTTGCTTTTAGGGCACGAGTGGCTCATGGTGTGAAAGAGGCGGCAAAGGGGGGCTTAAATAGGGCTCGAAGTCTACATGCATGCGAGCAAACCTTGAGGCTTTACACTAGACTCCACAAAGGCTTGCTGTTTTTGATTGGAAAGTTCATTTCTTGGGGGGGGGGGGGGGGGGGGGGGCTTGTGGGGGGTTACCGGAATTTCTGGGCTTAGGGTGGTGGAAGCAGTGTCAACATCTTGAGAGGAAATCTTCGAACAGACGAACTCACTCATTGGAAATCAAGAAGCAGGGCGCTTTTGGGATTCGGGGTTTGGGTTCAAGGGGTCAAGACCTTGGAGGCAGCTAGCCCACAGATTTGCCAAGGTGAAGGTCCTCAGCCGATATTTGGAGGAAGAGGCCATGTTGCCCTCGTTTAAGGTTGAAATTTCATTTTGGAGGTTGGGGTCTGGTGGCGCAGAGAAATTTCTGTGGCGGAGCCACAGCTTTCTTCTTGGGAGCTCCGGATGGCGCCTGTTTGTGATCAAGGACCATGAAGCTGGCTGGAGCATGCCGTGTGTCCACTCCCCGCTTGGTCGTGTTGTCTCTGTTTGAGACTCATTTTCCAGCAGCATCCTGAAGGATTTCAGGAGGGGGCGAGTCGAGCCAGCACAGGGTTTTGAGCCTGCGGAGTCGGCCGAAGGGGGGGCACCGTTGCGTTGGGCGGACCTGGTTACACTTCGGCGTGCCGCTTCTGACTTTCCGACGTGTAAGCACTCTCACTCCGAAAAGACCCTTTGCTCAGCTGCCTGGTGCACTTCGTGATTTGCACATGCCTCATTCATCTGGTGCTGTGTCCTTACTTGCCATCTTGCAAGGCCCCCCTCCTTCCCTCGTGAATTTGAAGGAGGAAAACCTGCATTTCCTCAATATTTCAGTTCCGCCCACACCCTCACAACAGTCATGTCTCCCGGAAAAATCAGCCCTCCTTGGCCATCGCACCCCAAACAGCACTGACCTTCTACTCGGGCGGCCGTGAAGCCAAAATGCCCTCAAGCCCCTTCCCGAAGGGCCCGACTCCTTCAACACTGAGACTTGCTGAACTTGACGGACCGAAGCCCTAAAGCCCTCAAAGGCGTTAAGAATTCAAGAAGCCCGAGCCGCCATGGTAGGCCAAGAAGTCCGGCGAGCTTCTCAAAGGTCGGGGCCCGGAATCGGATTCGTAGGGTTCAATCGGTTTAAGGGATTCGGCTTTGGCCTCTTCAGACAGGTGCTTCAGTACAAGTTTGGGGGGGGGGATCGCTTTAGCAGGGGCTGCCCTCTCTCGTCTTGTGCTACTCCGTCCGAGCCCTGCCTCCCTCCTGGAACCCCGCAACTCAAAGCCCCTTAGCAGCCTCAACAGCATTCAGCCATATGATCGCTTGCCCCGACTTCCACAATTCCACTTCGCTTCCGGTGTGGTTTCGCAGAAAGCAAGTGGGTCATGACATAATGACGGTGAGTTGACGCCCAGGTGCTTCAAACGAGGAGATCACATCGGTGCCTCGGGGTGTTCAGAAGGGTCAGGGGAATGATGGTTTTGGCTCTCCGGGATCTTGAGAAAAAACCGAGGCGGAGAAGGTTTGTGAGGGCTCTGAAGCATCCCCTCAGCCTTCGCCTTCGGAGTAGGTTCTCAAGCCCTGAGCCAGCAATCCAACAAAGTCCCCCCCAAAAAAGTCCCCAAAGCCTTCCAGACCCAGGCGCGGGGACATTCCATCGTATCCTGCTGAGCTGGGCCTTGGCCCCCTTTTAACCGCCTTTTACTGCAACGCCTCAGACTGGACCTTGCGATGTGTTAGGAAGAGTTTAGGGTAAGTGCATCTGGAAGCTTCTGGCCTAGAGCCTCTAAAGGCTCCCCCTCCCAACCCCGAGACCTGCAGAACCCTCTCCTGGCTCTACAAGCCCGGTGTCTCCGAGTCTGGGGTTCGACCTTCCCTGCGTGTTCGGATGCCTTGCCTTGAACAGCGCCGTAAAAGCGCGTTCGCTCTGAGTGGCGCGGATTCGCTCTACCACGTCCTTGCTGCTGAGAAGGTGCGAACACGGCATCCGCTCTTGCAAAAATGGCTCTTGCAAGACATGTTATGGTCACTCAAGTCAGGGAAGTGCTACAGGGGGGCTTTCTGAGTACTGTAGTCGAAGCATAGTACGGTCACAGCCTGCAGCAGCGTACTTGACGCCAGAATCTGCTGAAGCAGGCACGTTCGTTGTAGCTTCTGCGTCTGTGAAGTTCATCTGTCATGATGGACTAGAGGTTGGTTTCCCTCCTTCCATACTGCTTGCCGGGGCCTGCTCTTCATGAATGGGGATTCTGGCAACGGTGTGACTATTAAAGTGATTGTTGGGAAGTGTGTCATGGACAGGGCTGCCTCCAAAACTAAAGCCTCATGGCCTCAGGAACTTAAAATGGTTTCGGCAAAAGGTTTTAATTGTGAACCCTTGCGCCCACCCTCTCTTCACAGCCCGGGCGGCCCAGGCCACGAGACGTGCATGTCGGGGTCCAAGCGTCGCACCTCGGAGTTTCCAGTCCGCATGGTCGGGTTGCAGATACGGCAAGCGACCGCGGGTCGAGGAACAAGACGCCGGAGAGGAAACGCCCTGTAAACCTGAAACCTTGAAACCCGCAGTGTAAGTGAGCTTGGGGGCCGAAGAAAGCTTGCTGGAGGACGCCCGAAGCCCTGTTTGCATTCAATTAGCAGTAACGGCTTGCAGTGTCAGCAAGCTGTGCAAAGCCTTCGGTGCACTTGTTTTCTGTGCTCGTGTGCTCGCTGCCACTTTGAGCCTTGGCTCTCAGGACTCAGGATGGCAGCACAGAGAGGGTTTGTTTGAAGTTTGTTGACTGCCAGCAGCCCCGGAAGGTTTCAGCAGTCCTACCGCGTTTCGGGTTTTTGGGGGGCTTCGGATTCGGAGAGAGGGGTTGTAGTTTTAAGGGGGCACGCTGAGAATCCAGACACCCGAGCTCCCAACCATTTCCGAGGTTTTCGACTCCGCAGGCAGACTGGCTCGAATGCACTCCCTCATGCAAGGGCGGTTTCAACACAGTTTGGCGGGAGACTGGCCGCTTCGCAGCAAGCCGATGGAAGTGGCGAGATCCCAATGGAACCAAACCCCACTCTCTCGTCCTGCCCTACCCCAAGAAGAGGCTCCGCAAAATCCTGAAACTCCAAAGCGTGAACCAAAGGCGGCATGATGCAGGGACACGGCTTCAGGGTATTGGGCACGCATCAGCATCAGGATCACAGGGCTAGCACTCCAAGGATCAGAATCAGAGTTTCGGGAGGGATGCTGATGGGTACAGGGTCTCTATCTTTGGGTCCATTTTGCCCGTTTGTTCAAGGTAGGTGCTCAAGGAAGAGATTTGGAAAGACGGTTGAACTGCAGCGAAAACCCAAACGTTGGGTATTCACCATCCTGGCTCCGGTGTGTCTGCCAGCATCCAGTAGCCAAGCCAATCTGTTTGGCACCTCGCAGACTCATACTCGGTCTTATTTAGGATAGAAATCGGTGCTTGAATTTGCATCCAGCCCTGCAACATAGCACTTTGAGCCTGACAATCTCTGACACACCATCCCAGCGGGCCTAGGTGCTGATGGTCTCCACGATGCCGCCCATGGAGACGCCGGAGCCTTCTTTCCACATGTCTTGTGTTGGGCCAACCCGAAACCAGTGAAAGGATGTTGCATTGTGGATGTTGAATGATACAGCCTTAAGGTGCTGAGTTCCCTTTCGCTGCGACTGTACATAAAATAATTAGAATCCTTTTTTGATCTCTGTTCAACCACCGCAACTTGGTGCTCACATGCTCCATGGAAGGGACATGGTGAGGAAGACCTGTATTTTGCATTTGAGTTCTTCACAATAGTACAGCATTTTTTGCTCAGTCTCGTGGCACACGTGAACACCAGGTTGGTGCCTTTCTGACGAGCACCAATGCATTTGGAGCGTTTTGGAGTCATTGCATGTGCAAGTACGTGTTCTGCCCGAATCGCTCGGGAATGACAGAGAAGAGGGATGTCTCCGGGACGTCGACATTCTTCAGGCCCGTCGAGCAGCGGCGACGCGAGGAGGCGGCGATCCGTGAGCAGCTGGCTCAGGAGCCGGGGGACCCAGAAACTGAAGGACCCATGGAGTTCGAGGTGCAGCTTATAGGGCCATGCGGAACTTCAGGGATTGGAACCCAATACGGAACCCCGGGGAGAGCTTTCGGTTCAGTGGGATTGCCAATTCACGTCACCCACCGGCCAAGGTATTCGGGGCCCCACAAGCACAGCGTAGGCGCCGATCATTCGTTTGTCCACCTTTTTTTTTGGGAAGGCAGCTCGATTGTGCTCTTTAAGGATTGCAGAGCGGGGCTTCGGGTGCCGGATCGAAGGAATTCGGAGGATTGCGGGGAAGTTTGAGGCATAAAGTGGGCGAGGAATTGTGGGGCAACTAGCTTGTTTTCTGGGTGCTACCGGGAAGGGCTGATGTTTGGGGATACTGTTTGACGTTTGGGCTTCAGGCTAGGGGCCTGTTCCCCTCTAGCAGCCTCAGCTTCTGAAACTCTGCAATGTGCCTGCTCTCCCAGATTCGCCCGAGGCCCCGAAAATCAACATCAACCCCTTTCGCCTGGCATGCGGCGACAGGTGAGCACTTGGACAACGAGGGCGCGGAAACCCACCATCCGGGACTTTGACGGGATGGTTTGGGTTTTGCAAATCTCAGCGCCCCCACCCTGCTGAGAAAAAGACGCACAATTTTGGAGGGTTTGACGGAGATGTTGCGCCTTCGAGGCGCTGAATTCACTAAATTCCCTAAGCTCCCTAAATCCTTGCTCCAGGATATCAAGCAAAGCACCCCAAAAAGGAATATTCTAAACCCTAAACCCTAAACCCTAAACCCTAAACCCTAAACCCTAAACTCTAAATCGAAAGCTCCTTTCTTAGGCACCGTGGAGCGCATCTACGGAGGCCAAACGTCAGACCGGCCCCAGGAGAGCCAAAAGCTATTTCTGTAAAGTGCGGGTGTATAGGGGTTATAGGGGTTTAAAGCCCTAAACCCTAAACCCTAAACCCTAAATCTTAAACCCTAAACCCTAAACCCTATTTGGTGGTGAAGGTTTCGGGCTTCCAATTCGCTCCAAAGTGTTCCAGGGAAGCTGCAAGCGGCTTCGATCTGGAAGTTCCGTAGGGCTGGAGACGCACGGGCCCGTTGTATGAAATGCTTCCGGGCTACATGGTCAATATTCGCACGAGTAGCCCGAAATTGTCAAACCTAACCTGTCACCCTAATACTCGGAGCTCGCACGCGCGCAGTCTGAATCCTTACCCCTGGGCCATCTCCCAACCCGTTAAGAATCAACGCAAGCACCAGTTTCAACTTCAGCCTCCAGACGGTGCGAGGAGCTGAGCTTAGTTCGAGTACTCAGGCCGCTTCCCTCTGGCGGGCCTGGGGGCCCAGGGACCCCGAAGCGAAGCTTCAAATTGCCTTGGGCGTGGTGGCTTAGGCTTAGTGCTTAGGGTTCAGGGCCGGGGGCTTGGGGTCTGAGGGTCCCAAGTCATCCTGAATCCAGAGCCCCAACCAAGGTCTGCGGAAGAGCTGGCGGTGGTTCACCGGGCACTCCGTGCGTCGTTTCCAGGAGCCAGGTTGTCGGCACCCAGTATCCGTTGCTTGGATGTCTCGGGACCTTCCGGTTCGAGTTCGGGCTCGGAGGCAATATTATTGCTGCTGGGAGGGTTTGGAACGTCCACGGTTTGGGCCTGCAGACTTTTCGGATTCTCATGAATGCCCAGTGCAAATTCGCTGAAGTGCCGTGCCAGGTACATGCCGAGGATGACACCTTGACGGTCCAGTACTCAGCTGTTTTTGGAAGGGCGCCGGGGTTGCTAGGGCCATTTCTGTATGGGATACGGGGTGAAGGAGAGCGAGACGAACACCCGAAGATTGAAAGACTTTCGACGTCCTCTGGAAGAGGTGCCAAGCGTAGGTGTGTCTGTAATTCATGTGCTCTTCTGGCCATGCCTTGTAGACCCGAGCCTTCCCAAGTGAGCTTAGAACTTAGAATCAAATCTTACAATGTCATACGCCAACGGCGCTCCATTGGCATGGGACCCTCAAATCTCTTTTGCAGGCATGAGGCCACGTCTCCATTCTTCTGACACGCGGCGCAGCCCACTGCCCACATTGCACGCTGTCAGCCCCAAATACATCAAAGCTGATGGCCCGAGACGGCGGGGCCGTAGAGCATCCCTAGACTATATCCGAAGCTCTACCAGGTGCAGTTCCCCAGTGACCAGCACCGCCTGCGGGTACCGACGCACATGGTGATGCTGGTGCACCACTCAGGCTGTTCTGTTCAGGGATTAAGGGCTGGGAGGTTTGGTCGGGGTTTGGGTTGGGTCAGGGCACGCTGCCTGCCATTCCACTGGATCGCAAGGCTTGGGCTTAGTCTTACTTGTGTAAAGCCACTACTAAAACTCGAGCCCCAGAAGCAGGACACACTGCCCAAAGTGGCTGCACAGCGCCCAGAAAGCTCCTACTCTCACCGTTGCAGCCCTCAATGCCCTGGGGCAACCCAAGGTGCAGACGGTGACGCCGACCTACCCAAAGATCCGGCTGCAACCAGGCGCCCTGATGGTCTTGTGTCAGCTTCCCCCCAAAAGCCCCCAAAGCCCTCGAAAAAGCCTGGCAAAGGAGAACGGCTCCCAAACCGCACCCAAGTGGACCGGCCGCTGCCTGAGAACATTTGTGGGAA